GTAATTAGGCAAATTTGCAACGTCAGGCCAATCATCCTTCTTTGGTAACCCCCTCATTCGGAATATGCAGAAAAGCTGATCAATTTCAGAATCACCGCAAAAAAGCGGATCCCCAGTAGCCATTTCTGCAAAAATACAACCCATTGCCCAGATGTCAACGCCGCAGCAGTAGCGAGTTACACCCAGCAGAACCTCAGGACAGCGATACCATTGCGTCACGACCTACATAATTTTAAATTAGTCAGGAAACCCTCCAGACGGATTGAAAGCAAAACTACCTCGTGAGTCAACGCGCGAAGTGGGTAGCTAAAACATCTAGCCAACCCAAAATCAGCCAGCTTAACAACACTTCTGTCAACATCGACCAGAACATTTTGCGGCTTCAAATCACGGTGAACAATGCGCCTTAGATGGCAATACTGAAGAGCTTGCAGCATTTGATACATGAACGACTAGACAGTAAATATTTAAATCCAGAACCCTACTTTAACAAGGTTTGGAGGCAACCCCGTATTCGCACACTTGGAATCCATATGCCGTCTGAGATCCACGGTTACATACTCGAAGATCAGGTACAATCGACCAGCTTCTAGAACAATATCCTCCAACCTGGTGGAGACTATAGATATTTAGAATTTACGTCACTATATTAGGGTGATTAAGTTCTCTTAGAAGTGCTATTTCCCTGAGAGCAGTGGAAGGGATCCCCTGATCAGAATTTTCAAGCTTGATACGTTTCATCGCTTTCAATTGTCCCGACTTCCGATCGAGGCACTTGTAAACGACACCGTATGTACCTAAAGTGGTAAAGAAACTGCTGATAGCAAACCTTCACCTATTTTTCCCTGCCGCAAATAATCCGAAAGCCTGCTATTCGTCATCGCCGCGATGCGCAAGGACCCGAATCACAGTCAACTTAAACTACGGTAAGTCGTTTAAGGATAGTGAAGGTGTCATTTTAAACACCACCATTTGCAAAAACTTAGTTTGATTAGCTTATTTATATACGAATGGTAAGTACCGCAGACAATTCTTACAGCTGTTGGTGATTTTTTTGTCTAAAACCTATGAAATTCAAATTAGAGAAAAATCAAATCCAATTTGTACTCTAATTAACACAATCATATCTGATTGTTAAATCGTAAAAATTTGTCACTGATCCTGTAGTCTATCGAGGTTCACATTAAGTGGAAGAAGGTACTGAATCGGTACCATTTCTCCTACTCGGCTCCACAGATTCATCACCCCGGTGTTCATGTGATGGGTTGTTCCGAGGAAGTTTAGTAGGCATATTCAAAAGGCGTTCCTCACCAGTCACCGGAACAGTGCTCGCTCTTGCACTGGCTCCCCGCCTCTCTCCTAGAAAGCACAATTTGAACAGTCACTAGGTATTACACAGCATTCCTTCTATTTTGAGCACCCTCATCGATGCTGACTTGTGGGAATTCTCCTAGGTCGTTAGAAGATTTCTACTTCTATGCAGCATCATAAACCTCATCCTTGCAGCGAACTGGGAGTTGCTGGTGTTGGAGAGGACCATCATTGGGTATTCAAGACGTTCCGCATTTAGACCGTAATTGTTCTTGGAAAACAGAACACAAACTTCGCTTTGGGGAGTTCCTCTCCAAGAGCAGTAAAATTTTCAAAGAGTTTTAGTTGGGAGATTTGTTTGTACATTTGGATTAGGCCACCTTCCTTAAAACACTGCCTCTGGTCTGCCTGTCGGTAGACCTTTATGAATAGTGTGTGCCTTCTTTCCGTAGTCTCAGAACATTCTCAATCGCATAATTTGAAAGCACAACATTTTGGAAACAGCGATGCCAGAAATCCATCCTCGCATCGTGAAAGGCAAGACAGTAGTGGCAGCCATTTTGTACGCGAGAAGGGCATATTCCAGGTGTGTATCTTGGGTAAAGGTCTGCAACAGGGCGACAAATGCACCCTTTGTTTCTTTCCCTTATCCATTCCCTTAGGAGTGTACTGGTGTTTTGCTCGTTTTACTCATTCAAAGTGATTTGTACCGCCACTTTTCAAAGAGGAGTCTTGATCACTATGGGCCAAATCAAGAATGCGACTACTACCTTAGCGAAATGGTCGATCACACTCAAAATATGGCGATGGCGCCAGTTCATACCTCCTAGCCTATGGATCGGGTAGGCATAGGCTGAAGGGGTGTTGTAGCGGTGCGACAGGTTCTTTTGAAGCTGATGCACTCGGCACACCCATTCTGAGGTATTATAAATCGGCTGAGACCACCAGTATCTCATCTTAGCAGACAAGACCATCTTTTCGCTCATGTGTCTGAGTTGCTCGTAGGCTAGCTCACCGGCAAATATAAGACTGTTGAGACTCACCATGCTAGCTTTGTAGTAGATGACGTCCTCCAGAGATAGGTTCCTCAATTCTGCCGTAGTTGTATGACTGGCCTGTTTGCCGCACTTATCTC